GTCCTCTCTGCGACTCTTACCAGAACCTAAATCACTCTGTTGCTCTGAACTGCCCCCAGAGAAATCTCTCTCCCTCTGTTTCTACTGATGAAGGGTCTGGAGGAAATCCTTGAGACTTTTAATACCCACTTCCTCCAAGCCAAACTACAGATCACTTCTTCCTATTCAACCAGTGACTGACACTATCACCTCTCTGCAGCACGTTTGCCAAGCTCTATCAGAGAGCTACTAAGGAAGCATAGCAGTAGCTGAAAACCTTCTGGTTGTTAATATGTATTTTATGTGAGCTGCTAACTACATAATTTGGGTTGCTCAGTGTTACAGCTGGTGTAGGAGTAAATGGGGCCTGCAAAGTGGTGATTTCAACACAAACAATAACCAAAGTAAAATACATATTTCTTTGCTTTCAAATCTTTTTTTCACAGGATGTTCACTGTTCAAGTAGATGAAGACAAAGGCCAGACTCAGAGACTGCCAACAGACCAGCCCATCTCTGTCAGGAAACTCTTTGTGGGGGGTACTTCTTCTCAGTTTCAGACTGCACTGCTCAGAAACATACCACCATTTGAGGGCTGTATATGGAATCTTGTCATTAATGCCACGTAAGTCTCACTCATGCCAATAAATGTCCAGTTAATGAGGTCTGGTTAACTACATTGGCTGCTAAAAGAAACAGCATTGTTGCAAGGAATCATACTAACAGCAAAACCTGTAATATTTGTTTTCTTAATATGCTCTTCCTTTTTTTGCCTACAATATACTCTCCATAGGCTATGCAATTAATGAAATGTTTTGCAGACAAGCCAACACCTCAGTGCTTATCCATAAAATCGGAGAAATTCAGCAGTAACATTGCAGTAAGACTTGCCTCAATGATAGGAACTTATAGTGTACTGTAACACTTCATTTTAAGTAAGGTTAATCTCCAAGAGTATACAAATTCTGTCTGAGAACCACCGCAAGAATCAATTTGCTTTGTGGAAAGTGCATGCTGCAGTAATCTGGAAAGAACATTTAAGTAAACCAAAAGGAAACGGTGAACAAAGTAAAACCTCTATAGAAAGTTCCCATCTAATTCTTTCCAATAACTGAAGTTCCTAAATGAGGATCTCATCACCCTCACCCCATCAGTGCACATCAGAGAAGAACTTCTCAGCAATGTGATTCAGCCTACCTGGGCTGGTAAAGCTTGACAAAGAGGATGCCTGTCTCTCTGCGCTGACTGTAAGAAGGAAAGTTAATGGTGACTATCACCTCTAATTTAAGCATTCCACTTCTGTACCTAAAATAGACAGGATCAATCCTGGCTCTTGTGTCCTATGAAGTAGAATTACACTGCAGCATACAGCTATTTTTTTTTTATAAAATACTGTAAAAAGTAGTAAAAAGGCAGAAAAACTAACAGACATCAATTTCTTTGTATGTTCTCAGCCCCATGGACTTTGCTCAACCCGTGTCATTTGAAAATGCAGATATTGGCCGATGTCCCTCTCTAGAACCAGAGGTTAGGACACCTGAGGATGAAGATAAACCAATCCAGACAACAGTCCTGATCCAACCTGAACCAGACACTAATGGGGAGAAAGAAAGACCCAGGACTCCTCCTGCTTCCCTTCCTCCTCCACCACCATCTCTATCAGCAGCATTTGTAAGTGTAGATCACTCAGGTAAATTTTGAAAAGTTTCTTTTTCCAGGCAAAATTGAAAAGCTGGCCATCAAGAACAAAGAAGTAATTTGCCACAAAACCAGTAATAATTTAGCACGATATTGTAAAGGGAACACCTTGTTGCAGGTCAGTAAAATCTGTAGATAATGGAAAACTGGTTGGTGTCATTTGCTTGGATTGTAACAGTAATTTAAAGAATGATAAAGCAGTAGAATTACCTCTGGCTTGCATGCTTAGTCCTAAACCCTTACACTTCAAGATGTAAGCCAAGCAATACCTGGTCAGGGTTGGAAGGGAAATTTTCCTATGGGAAATCCAAGTCATTATGATATTTCGTGTGCTATTCTCTGAAGCACAGGATAACAGCCATGTCACTGGCAGGATAAAAAAACAGGTAAACCAGATAGGTCTGTTTGATAGGGCAATTCCTTCACTGATATAACTTTAGTCAGGAGACTTAAGAACTTAGGCACTGAAATCCCAGTCACTGCCAAATTTTGTTCGGCTGTTGTTGCCAGAAATCTTACATAGCTAGATATCAGCAAGCAGCCTTATACAACAAAATTTAGGAAGAAACCTCTATCGCAAGTGTAGCAGTTTTACAAGTTGATGCAACATTTTACTGTCCAGAAAATATATATTTAGATATCTGAATATTCAATTGAAAAATATATACACTAGATAATATTCTTAGGGGGGAAAACCTTTGCATTTTATTAGACATGCATACAACCCACAGATTTATGCAGGTGTCATGGTTTAACCCCAGCCGATAACTAAGTACCACGCAGCCACTAGGTCACTCCTCCTCACCCTGGTGGGATGGGGAGGAGAACTGGAAAACGGTAAAACCTGCACGTTGAGATATGAACAGTTTAATAATGGAAATGAAGTAAAATATTTTAGTAATAGAAATGATGATGATAATAATAGGAAAAAGAGAGAAGGAGGAGTAAAATTCAGGGAACACAAGTGATGCCCATTACAATTGCTCACCACTTGCTAACCTATGCCTAGCCCATCCCCGAGCAGTGATTAGTGGCTCCCAGTAAACTCCCCCCAGTTTATAGATGAGCATGAGATGCTGTGGCATGGAATACCCCTTTGGCTAGTTTGGGTCAGGTGTCCTGTCTCTGCTCTCTCATGGCTTCCTTTGCTCCTCTCACTGGCAGAGCATGAGAGACAGAAATGTCTTTGACCAGGGTAAGTTCTATTTAGCAACTAAACCATCAGTGTGTTATCAGCATTATTCTCAGCTAAAGCCAAAGCACAGCACTGCCCCAACTACTAGGAAGAAAAGTAGTTCTATTCCAGCTGAAACAGGACAACTGGGTATAGTTCAGTATGGGTGAGATTTCCAAACAATACAAAAAGTCTGCCCACTTCCCAGGTAGGAGTCTATGCTACCAGAATTGACACTACCATAATAAGCTTTGAGAAGCTAACAACCAGAGTATCTAACTTGCTTTTAAATATATATATTATTTTATTATATATATATAAAATATAAAAGAGCAATTTTGACAGTTTCTTCTAGACTGGCTTCATAAGATCTTTTAACCATTCTGCGAGGTGCTCCCACAATGGGTCAGGTTTAATCTTCATTCCCATTTCACACCTCCTCGTTGACACAGCATTACTCAGAACACTGTGTTTGTTTGTAGAGAATTTTTCAGTGTGACACAGAGGATAAGACTATAAATTAATTGCATGAAGACAAAAAAAAAAAAAAAGAATAGAGAAAAGTAAAAGAAAAGAAAAAGGAAATGAAAGAAAAGAAAGAAAAAGAAAAGAAAAGGATATGATTTTTAGTGAGTCAGTTTGAGACAGAGGAACGTGAATTCATTGCCACAATCACTCCCTGTTAACCTGACACATTTTCAGAATTCTTATCTGATTTTCTTTGGTCATAGGTAGGATTTTTAACAATGTTTTTCTACAAAAAAAAAGGTGCAAAAACTAGGCCAAAAACCGTAAGTCATTAATTTTATATTTGACATTCATGGCCACCTTCTTTGGCCAAGTACATATCATAGAATGGAATCATCCTAATGGAATCATCCTAATGGAAAGGACATTTAGATTATCTAGTTCCAACCCCCCTGCCATGGGCAGGGACACCTCGCACTAAACTCTGTCGCCCAAGGCTCTATCCAACCTGGCCTTGAACACCGCCAGGGATGGAGCATTCACAGCTTCCTGGGGCAACCCATTCCAGTGCCTCACCATCCTCACTGTGAAGAACTTCTTCCTTATATCTGATCTAAACTCCCTCTGTTTAAGTTTGAAGTCATTCCCCCTTGTCCTACCACTACAGTCCCTAATGAAGAGTCGCTCCCCAATATCATTATAGGCCCCCTTCAGATACTGGAAGGCTGCTATGAAGTCTCCACTCTGTCATCTCCAGGCTGAACAGCCCCAACTTTCTCAGCCTGTCTTCATATGGGGGGTGCTCCAGCCCCCTGATCATCCTCGTGGCCCTCCTCTGGACTTGCTCTAGCAGCAAGTGTTGAGGACTCCAGAACTGGACACAAAATACTCCAAGTGAGGTCTCACAAGAGCAGAGTAGAGGGGCAGGATCACCTCCTTTGACCTGCTGGTCACGCTCCTTTTAATACAGCCCAGGATACGGTTGGCTTTCTGGGCTGCAAGCACACACTGAAGCCGGCTCATGTCAAGCTTCTCATCAACCAACACCCCTAAGTCCTTCTCTGCAGGGCTGGTCTGAATTCTTCTCGGCCCAGCCTGTAGCTGTGCCTGGGGTTGCCCAGATCCAGGTGTGAGGACCTTGCACTTGGCTTGGTTAAACTTCGCAAAGTTGACATCGGCCCACCTCACAAGCGTGTCCAGGTCCCTCTGGATGGCATCCCTTCCCTATGGCACAGCTGTAATCAGAGGGACTCTGATTACATCTTAGTTACTACCCTGCCCTGAGCCCCAGAGTTATCGACCTTTTAATGCTCTAGGGCAGCATTTTTGACTCATTCCCACAAGGTGGAGTAGTTGTACCACGAGGGCCCGATGCATCTTCCTGAAAGGAAGCGAATTTACGAAGAGTACCATAGAGAAGGAACCAAGCAACAAGGTAAAAAGGGTTATCCGGTTAAATGCTCACTGTCGTGCATTTATAGTACCCCTTGATCAAACATTATTAACAAAATAAAATAATGCAGAAGCACATGAGAGTACAGGTGCACACTAAGACTTAACTTTTAAATATAAAATTGAGAGGAATGGATCTACTCATTAATATCAGAAACTAGTCCCATTGTAACTAGGTGAGTTTTGTGTATCATATATCTAGAGCCATGATAACTTGAAACAGGAGTTCAAAACAAAAATCTAAACTAAACACCATTACTTCACTTTCTCTCTTGGAAAAAATGAAACCATTTTAGTATTCTGACGACTTGAAAGTATTTTAAATAAAGCAAGCTTTTGGATAGCTTTTATGTTCATGTAAGTAAGTTCTCCAAAGTATTTTTCTGGGGCCTGTTTAACACAATAGGTAACTACAGTCTAATAATGACCTAGAACTCATATGACAGTTCATTATACAGAAGTTCAGTGAAGAAGGACTGTATATGGAAAATAGACTGCAGAAAATAATTATTTCCACATTTTAGACTTAAATAAGATATCTGTCCTGTCAGGACCTTTTTCATCTCTATTGTCAATCTGCATGCAAAAGGGGAGGGGAGTTTAATCCCAAAAAGAAAAAAAAAAAATGAAAACCCCAACCTATCCTCTACTAAAGGCAAGACAAGATATAAAAGTAAGACAGTTGGGAAATACACTGGTCACCAGCTTGCTGCTGCTGCTTGCTGTGGATGCCAGATGTTTCTCAACCTCGGGTAACTGCTGCTTCTGGCTCATGTTATTCACTGCTTCTCAGGATTCGCTTGCCACTGAAATGAAGAGCGCCAGGTTTACTTCTCCGTTTGACTCCATGACGGTACCTTTCACTGTTTCTCCATGCATTACTTCATTGTTTTACTAACACTGTTCAGTGAACTGTGAGGACTGCTTCGCTGCTGCTTCCCTTTTCCCCTAATTACTTTCTTTTTCATTGCTAATACAGCATTGTTTGTAGAATGTGTGGCAGTCCACCAGTGGGCTTTTCTGTTCTTCATTTCCACCGTGATACACACCTAGCTTCTTGATTTACCAGTCCAGTCCTTGACATCTGACAAGACCGAAATAAAGTGCAGCTGAAGAGTTCAGTCCTGAGCATCTCACATAATTATTAAGCAGCCAGGTTTAAACCTAAGACATCTTAAAGCCATTACTAAAACAACCCCAAACCTGGCATATTTTAATATAGACTGATGATCCATGCTTAGTTCACAGTCTGTGAAGGATGTGAATAAACCCTGGAAGTTATTTAAGTAAAGTATGCCATTTTATTTCTTTTTTTTTCCTATTACTGACATTTCATCATCAACCTAATGAATGATCACTATTATTGATCGGTATTTATCAGTAAATAATCCGTATGTATAGGATGCTTGCTATGATTCCCACTGTCACTGTGCATTCGGCACTCTCACCCTCTCCTTGTCCTTCCTTACAGTCCTCCTGCTGGGATAAAATAAAACTGCAGTGTTTGCTGATGCTGTGGAGCTGCTTTAAGCATCAACACCAGACCCTCTACTAACATACGTTAGCCTAGGATGGCATTTACTGTCAGAATATTTCCTTTTACCATGTAATATGTGAAAGTGTGCCACAGAAAAGTGTGTGTTAGTTAGTTTCCAATTCTTTCCTGTTGTTCCAGTTCCAGTAGCTAGTCCCTATCTTAAAATTTTTGCCAGCCCAAATGCTATCAAAAGCATTATATACACAGGATTATTATTAACACAGTTGTTATACTTTTAGATAAACCTGTAAAGCTTAAAATAATTAGAAACTTTACCCAGCATTGTAAGAATATGATTTTTTTTTCCCCGATTTAATGATCACTGGAAGATCATTATGCTATCCCACATTCATAACTTTCTTTGGCCCTGCTGAATTTTCCCTGTTTTGTTTTTTTTTTCCTCTATTGCACACTGATGTTGTAATGCATGCTGTTCTCTGCCATATCAAATCAGAGCATTCGCTGTGGAAAACTAATTTTTAGATATGCTCCATACTGTTGTGAAGATTTTTGTGATGTGTAAAAGCAAAAAACCTAACACCACTGAAAAACTGAGTGAGGGGGAAAGAAATTTCACTGCCTGATGAGTCACTCATGGCATTTTCAAAATGTTTCACAGAAAGAGCTCTTCGTCAGCAATGCACCGCACCTTGTGCTTTGCAGGTCCCTGCTGAGTCAGGGCTCAAATAAGAGACTGTTGCCAATCCAAAATGATATCAGCCACAGTGCTTAAAAACAGAGCTTGCAGCTATCAAAGTCTGGGTTTTTTCCCCAGTGGTATTGTCTTGATATTGTATTGTGATAGATCCTTTGAGTAGTTTCTTCACAATACTCTCAGTGGGAGGCAAAACTAGACATGAGTAGGAGCTGGTAATTACCATGGTCTCGCATCGCCCCAGGCACCCCTATACAAGAGCTTTAGAGACAGAGATTAAAAGACTTGGTGAAATTAAAGAGGGAAAATTAAACTGGGCAGAAGGTATTTTACCTTCCATTGTTGCACCACTTTAAGATTAATAGAAGGGGAACAGACAGAGAGGGGTTTCTTTCTTTACTCCCTGGGTAATGTGTCTATATTAGACAGCTATGGGAGTTCAACAGTTGTTACTTCTATCTATGAGTTATTCTGCTTCCCTTATTGTTTGTGACATCTTTCCATAGCACCAAGGGCAACAGCACATTAAACAAAGAAGGCAGTTGTAAAACAATATAAAGAAGTGAAATGGAGGACTCATTGACAGGTGCAAGATCTGAAACTACCTTTAACTCTTTATTATTAAGGTGACTAGATTTCAAGTTGACAGGAAAGTATCCCTTTAAAACTTAAGTCTTGCTTCATTTCTGTGAGAGGGCATCCTACTATCTAAAATGCATTTACGTGATCTAAGAGTACACTGAGCTGCCTGGAAATCACTTAAGACTCCTGTAAATGTCCACTGGTGGCATGAAAGCAGCAATGTTCATACATTACTTTTATTTCCTTTTACAGCCAGCTTAATGAGCTCTGATTTTACACCAAGTTCCTGTCACACTGGTTTATAACTTTTGCTGTTGTTTAGTTTTTTGAGACATCAACACAAGGGAAAATTGCAGGGCCTTGACAGTGTCTAGACAAAGTGGAATATTCTCAGTCCTGAGCAGCTGGAAGACTTCCAGCACATGCACAGCTGAGATAAGATACCAAATAGGAAATTTGTATGATCACTACCTATTTTGCAGGATTCCTGTGCTGCTGACACAGAACCAGACATTTTGGAAGGTGGCAAGCAATTTGGTCTTTCAAGGAACAGCCACATTGCAGTAGCATTTGATGACACCAAAGTGAAAAACAGGTATATTGTTTATTTCAGCAATGAGTTTTGATGGAATAATATACAAATAAAATGCCCCTCCTGATAGTCTCAAGAGCATCTCCCAAAATCACAGGCATCTTCTAATTAATTTTATTAAAAACTGCTTAATTAAAGTGTAAAATCTAGACAATGAAGCGCCCACCTAAGTAGCTCTCACAAAAACAGTTTACCTCTTTGTAATGGTTTAGGCACACACAAATCCCAGACTGATTTGCGGAAAAACAAACAGAAGAATGCAACCGAGTTCATAGTTGCTTTTTCAGAAAAATGTTTCTTGGTTCAGTAACTTGATAACTTCTTGCAATAAGCAAACCTTTATTTCCTTTTCCTCTGATAATTAGGCCAAGCTTGCACAGTAAACAGGCAAAATGACTTTGCCCTCACAAAGTATAGCGATGTATGCATACACATGTTGATACGCAAAGGAATTCCAAGATCTACTTATAAAAATACAGCTGTGTCAAACAATTTGTGAAGCTGTAACTTACTAATTGTTCATTTTCGCTCTGAAGACACGTGATCATTAACAAATGTGCCATGCCATTCCACTAAGCATTTTTGCTGCCTTATAGTTTACAAGTCCATGAGCCTCACACCTATTTTTACCTATAAAGATGCTGCACTATTTTCACGTATGCTGATTTTAGAAAACTAGGAATATTATTAGAATAAATATGTAATTCTAGAGTCCTTGATTATCTTCTTTTCAAATAAGAATACTGGCCTGATCATTTTCATGCAATGATTTTTCACATTTCTATTATCAATTATTTTCAGATGCTAACTTTGCAGCTCAGCTTTGGGCTAGGTTAGTGATGTGCAGCCAGTACAAATTTAGCATCTAGATAATTTAAATAGTTTCCTAACAGGTTCTTTGCTATAGGGGATATTTTCATCATTACCCTTCTGTCCAAGGGGTCAGAAGACCTCCTCAGACACACCCCCATTTTCTGTTGGGAAAAATCAGAATAAGTGTTTTATATGCTGATTGTAAACTCTTCTCTCTGCATCTTTAAAAGTTCTGCAACCTGTCTTCAGGCAATACAACTCATTAGAAACTCAACATTTGCCAGCTATCACTACAGCTCGCTCGTCTTTGTGAGCATTATGTGTATGGATGATGGATAACGCCGCTGGAATTTTAGAAGAGCTGGGATTTTCTAGCAACTACAGCTGCAGCTGAGAATTGTATCTTGAAATTCTGTGCCAATTTTGCACTTTTGTATGTCCACAGCAAAGGGACTAATGAACATTCACGTCAGGGATCAGATACGTGTGAGATGCAGTTCATGTATAACAAAATTATTTTTCTTAAACGCTGATGGACAGGTAAAATGAGCCACTAACTGTGAACTTTCAGGGAAGACAAAAAGATAAAGCAGATAAATTTGCCTACTGTCTGACTCTGAATATCTTTTCCTTTGTTGCTATTTGATTTCCAGACTTACAATTGAATTTGAAGTCCGAACAACAGCTGATTCTGGCTTGCTGTTTTACATGGCCCGTATCAACCATGCTGATTTTGCTACAGTTCAGATAAAGAATGGACTGCCTTACTTCAGCTATGATTTGGGGAGTGGAGATACCAACACAATGATTTCCAACAAAATAAATGATGGGCAGTGGCACAAGGTATAATAATCTCTAATGCTAAATTACTCTTTGTCATGCTAAAGGCAAGCTTTGTTTTGCCTTAAGATATTTGCAAAATGTAGTCTGTACATATACATAAAGCTAAACTTTACAATTAGGATTTTCTGTAGTCTGAAAAAATTGGGTTTTCAGAGTCACTGTTAAGTACACATTACATATTCCATAAACAAAAAAGTTAGTGCTGATATTTGAAATTTGTCCTTCAGGAAACACATATTTCTGGACATATTTAGAGTATGTTCCATGTATGGCAAGGAACTGCAGAAAATGTTCCTTCCTGCCTAAAAGGGCTCAGGTGAGTATCAGCTCATGATGATAGAATACATCATTAAAACCAGTTGTTTCTATCTTAATATCATTGTTCAGCCATAATGCTGAGAATAAAGAAAAAAGAAGTAACATTTAAATAAATCTTCCCTGTATTACTAATTCCATTCATTAGTGAATAAATATGATATTCCTGGATGTATTTGGCAGCCCCTTCTGTGACTTTTTGAGCAGAAGCATTTATATGCAATGCCTGTGGTATCTGGATGGTAAGGGAAGGAATAATATTGCAACCATGAAGTTTAGTAGTTACTGAGTCAAGAACAGACACAGTATATTCATTAGGTAACATGCTTGAAGGCACCAATAAAGATAAAGAAGAAAAGAAAACATGGAACTCTGTATTCAAGTTATATACTATAAGAGATATTACATTTTGGGCAGATATTTGGAAAGTTACCATCCACATCACCATCACCAAATGAGAAAAAAATCTCATTGTATCTTCCGTTATGAAACCCCCTTTGTAGTCATCCTTAGTCCCTCTGCTTCATTCCCATCCTGTTCTGCAGGAATTTTATTTTTGCTGGATTTTTCTTCATGAACCTTTTGATGATAGCAAATGCTCTATACCAAGGTATTTCAGGAGAGGAAAAAAGTTGTAGTCGTTATTTATCTGGTTTATATAATGCCTATAAGCACTTGCAGTAGACCAGGGCCCCTTTCTGCTAAACTCTATAAATACAAAAGAGATGTATTTTGCTCTTTTAGCTGTTTTCTCTATATTCTAAGAGGACTAACTGGAGCATATATTTCTTGTGGGAAAACCATGCTCTTTGGCCATGCAGCTTGGCACTCAGTAAGAAAGGGACCCTTGTGGGTGCCATTTTTATAGGAGAAAATGGAGACAACATCCAAAGTCACAGCTCCCAAAAAGCACAAGGAAGTCCATTTTGAGAGAGTGGAAAAAGGCAACTTCTTTAAGAGACGACCACAGTCTTTGTTTTAAGAAAGTAGGAGCTTCTCCTGAAAATAATCCTTTTAGTGACAATCCTTCCTCCATTTGAAATGGCTTAGGTTAAAAATGTTTCCATCAGGCCTACAGAAGCCACATCATGCTGCTGCTATCTCTTTAGATCCTCCGTAAGAGTTTTTCCCAGTTCCTGTCACACTCTCCAAATCCTCCTTCTGCCCAAGGTTTAATTGTCCATCTCAAACATACAGTTGTCTGTAAACACCAAGTTAAGTCACTCACCTTCATGCCACCTTTTATCAGCGCTCAGTCATTCCAGCTGCAAGACAGATGTTCTCCCTCTCTGAAGGAGAAGCAGCCATATCAAAGAAAAGCCAAAGAAAAATGCTTTTTGTCTCTCTTTGCTACTCTAGTGAGCTAATTACTGTGCTGTTTAGAAATCTGCTAACGTATATGTTGCATTTTACATTTATCCATTTTTTCATACAGAACCATTATTATACTGATTTGTAGAGATTTCAGTATAAACTTTTGCAAAGACACTGGCCTGCAGTTGTTGGGGTAGAATTTCCTCAACTCTTCAGTAACTGTACTTCCTCCATGCAATTCACAGCCCATTTGTCTGAACAGAAGCCATACCACCAACAGAACGTAGCTGGTATTGTATTTACTCTAGCATGAACTATGACCTGAGGGACATCCAAACTAGTGGAATCATAAACTCAATATTGTCTGAAAACATGTGCTGCAATAAAGATTTGCAACTGGTGCCATTAATATTCAGTATTTACTTTTCCCAGTGCTTAAAATTGCTATCTGGTTCCAGGAAAAACAGTATTGTGCCATGCCTATGAAGCTTTTTAAAGGAACCCCAAGTCCTTTCCTTAGTTCTAATAAATTATAGTCATGATGCGTCCTGACCCAGGTCTAATTCGTGTATGTTTGCACAAAACCTTGTGCAGGAGCTCTGTTCCATGAACATTAACCATAGTTGCTGCTATGGTATTTCTGTAACCACTCCTACTACTTTCTCCTATGTTACATATTTTGGATTGTAAGGCTAGTTACAATCTGGAAATTCCTTATTTTCAGAAAACTATCTGTAATTGTATTGCATTTGTGTGTCTTTTTAGATAAAAGTAGTTCGAACGAAGCAAGAAGGAAACCTTATAGTAGATGATGTTTCTAACAGGACTGTTAGCCCCAAGAAAGCTGATATATTGGATGTTGTAGGAATGCTGTATGTTGGAGGATTGCCCATTAACTACACAACTAGAAGGATTGGTCCGGTAAGCAAGTTTGTTAAAGTTATCTTACACTCCTTAAGTATGTCTTGACTGGTACCAATGTCTTCCCAGTTTTTTGTTTTGCTTCTCCCTCAGACTGCTCAAGAATATGGTTAAAATGGACCTTACTTGAGGTATACTACATTCTTTCAGTGGAACGATCTGACTCAAAATCCATTTAATGCAAAGAACTAGAAGCAGCAGAGTTGGTTACTGTTATGGAAAAGTAGAAAGATCCACACACTTGTATCCACTTGGATCAGAGCTAGAATATAAGGTCCTGAATACTACTTCCCCTTTCTCTTGGCTGTAATTCATCAAGCAATAAATGCTAAAAAGCAGTCACAGCATCTCCTAAGAGAAGCAACAAAAGCCAAAATTACCCTGGACGAAGTCCCCAGTAGTAGTGCTGCTTACTGTAGTAATTGGTTTTGTGTTGTCATTACTAAACTAGGAGAGAATGTATTTTGAAGTAAGGCCATGAAAATTCTGTTATCTGCTTCTAAATCAAATGTGCATATATCAATTTATCACTGTTTTAGTCTAAATGCCCAGATTCCATTCTGACACAGAAATTACCCTGGCAAGCAGAGAGCCTATAGAGGTGAATATAATTTTGGTATAAACTTTGTAGAATTAACTAGGAACACTGTATTTCCTCACCCAGGCCTCTTACTGCATCTGTCTGCGCAACTCCATGTCAGTCATCTCACTTTCCTGCTGCCCTCCCATGCCCCAAGATATGCCAGTATCAGAATCAGAGAAAAACCTCTTCCCTGCATTATTTTTCTCTTTGTGTAGAGAGGTCTTTCAAAGCAGAAGCCAAATCTTGAGCGAATTATAGCAAACACCAGATTAGGCATATAGTGTAGCATGACTTGGAAAAAAAAAACCAAACCTGGAATGTCAGTAGCAGTTATGTCTAGGCTCATTCCAGGTGATTAAACGGAATTGGTAAAGAGGAGTACAAATTATGGTAAGGAAACAAAGCAGACTCTCAAAGCAATTACATATGGGTAAATACCACTGTAGTAAGATGGAATGGCAAATACTAGTCTACAGACAAGTAAAAGTCCACCAGTTCAGGCAGGCAAAATAAATACAGAGAAGGAATTCCTAGATCCTGCTTAAATAAGTCCCTATAAGAACTTGTGAATGTGGAATGAAGGGGAGGAGTAACCACTCTATATCTGACAGTCATATTTCATAAAGAAAACTGACCTCTAAGCTCATATTTCTCAGCAAATTATGGATTGTGCAGAAAGACGAAATTCAGGTGAATTTAGTGATCATTTGGATTTACCGAACCAGATCTAAGGCACTGAAAACCAAAAAGCAATTAACTACCCACAAAATATAATTCCTAATATTATCGAATTATGCTCTTTGAAATACATCTGCAATTTACAAATCCTAATTTAAGGAGAAAGGTAATACTAAACCCTTACCTACTGCTCCTTGTCAGAAGTAATGGAGGGAACCCATGCAGATAAATGGCTGAGTCTGGCAATAACAGTCGTGTCAGATCCTGACAGTCTTATGTGCTTTGGGATTTAAATGAAGCTGTGACTTCAAGTGTCATTCACAGAAAGTAAAAAACAGTGCTTGCCTTTTAGTCATTTTCAGTAAATTACACCACATGATGTATTATTAGAATGTTATAGGCTTCATGTAAAGGCTCTAAAGTAAAGTAAGTTGAAAGGGTGTATTATCTTACTTAGGGTTTTCTTCGAAACATACATCAGCCTTTTAGGATACTAATCTAATAGGTAACTGTAGGTAGGCTGGCTTCCTATTCAGTGCAGAAGACAGATACCTACTTGTCTGGCTTCAGCAGATGTAATATTTTAAGCACTCAAAAATCTGCTTTCAGCGAAAGAGGTTATATTGTCTGTTCCCATGCTAAAGTATAACCAGATTTGCTTTTCCGATCTGAAGTTAGAGAATGTTACTTAGTTGTTTACAAATCTTGCATTTCACCCATTTATTCTCACAGTGAAAATGGCAAGGTTTGTGTTCTTTTGTGGCATTTTTTTTTAATAACAAAACTTGCTGATCTGAAGATGACTTTCATCTCAGAAATTAGAAAGAACTCTATGAAGAATCTGACAGAATGCATTGCTCAGCTCAGATCTGAATTTATTCACTGATATTGCTCAAGTTCCTGTGAAAATGTACAGGTGTATTAAGCAGTAATAAGCTATATAATTCCACAATACACTCAGCTTTGATTTACAAGGAAAGAAGTTCTTTGGAAATTCTTTCAAATTACTACTCAGGATATTGTTAGAGGAGCTAGTGCTCAGAGTCAAGACTTCCCTCTCCAGGTCTGCCTTTCTCCTTTCTGTATTTGTGCAAATTTCTATGCTGTATTTTATACACCGATTCTTATTTTCCTCCTTCCTACTGCATTGCTTATGAATACGTCTTCCTTTTCTTCCTCAGAGTACATGTTTATCACTTTCTTCTCTCCCATGAGATGAGATAAATTTTCCTGATTCTTAAGTCAAATATCAAAGCCCTTGTCTGAAGCCAAGAACCAAAATGCAGTTTCTGCACACCTCAGAGAGAAATGAGTGGGAGAGCTCTGGGGGAGATGCCAGTGGCTTCCAGAGGTCCCACTGGGACACTATTAATCACACCCAGAGCCCGGGCAGCCTCTCACTCCTGCCCCACACAGTATCTCACTTTCTTACACCACCTGCTTTGAGTCATAGTAAAGTGCTACCAGTGAAGAAGCCAAACTGGAGGTTCCCCATGAGAGCCTCCATACGCCTGAGCACACCCCATGCCTCCACCTGCCTCTCTGGCCAACAGAGCAGTCCTCACTGTGGTCACCAGACATATGGTTATTATAAGAAGAACTATGTATAGTCAGCAACTTTTACATAGGGGCTTTATTCATTTTAATAGCTGTGTACCTACATTAGGTCTGCCTTACCATGTAACAGTAAGCCCACATTAAAGTGATTAAAGTGGAGGGAGAGGGGTGGGAGGCTCTAGTAAAATTACCAGCAGCCCAGGGAACTACATCCAGTGTCTTCATCTACTTACAAACCCCATAGCCTACTCAATTAAACAGGTAAAGTATAGGCCATTAAGTTCCTGCATTGCTGATGTAGTTTGCTGTTTCATTATGCCGTGAATTTTTATGTCCCCTCCATTAAACCAAATAGATGTGACTCAGATCACATCCCTGAAAAGCAATGTAATTCATCCTCAGTATGACTGAGATTGGATTCCAATTACAATCAGATATTAAGGATTAGCCATGTAAAATTCAAGTTTTATTCAGCCCCATAAATCCAGCAGAGAAGCAGAGGAAAGGTACTTTTTGATGACATACTTTAGGCTGTCATACTTTTATTCTGAGCAGTGCAGCTTGCTTTGCACAGTTACATATTCTGTTTGAAATATTGACTGCAGGTCACCTATAGCATCGATGGCTGCATCAGAAATTTTAAAATGACAGAAGCACCTGTTGACCTGGATAATCCAACTTCCAGCTTCAGTGTTGGAAAATGCTTTGTCACTGCACAGAAAGGAACATACTTTGATGGAACAGGCTTTGCCAAAACAGGTAATGAACAGCAGTTCTGCTGATAGGCAAAGAACAGAGAAAGAGGAGATGCTGCTTTCAAAGACTTCCAGTGATACTTAACTCCTGTTAACCGAATACTTGAAACTCTTGTTGGTCATTTTTATTTATCCTGCCTAGAGATAGACTATATGACTTTCTATCAAGGTCTCACACTAAGCACAGCCACCATAACAGTTACTTAAGTCATTTCACATGAAATGGAGTGCATTAATAATGCTGACTTAGTTACCTTTCATTGCTGGCAACACGCTTTGCGTGATTATTAAGAATAACATATTAAATTTTTTTCTTCATGTTACTATGCTTCCCCCTTTTCTCTCCAAGTTGGTGCATACAAAGTGGGAACAGACCTGCTTGTGGAATTTGAATTCCGTACAACACGACTGAACGGTGTTCTCCTAGGAGTCAGCAGCCAGAAAATGGATGGGCTTGGCATCGAATTAGTTGATGAAAAAGTGAGTAGCAAAGCACTTTTGGCTCTTTATAGAGAACTGGCTTTAGAAAGCACAGGTAGTTTAAATGCAATCTTACTAACCCAGTCTCAAAACGTCTCAGTCAATATCAGGGCTCTCCCTTTACACAGCACTTGCCACTTACCATATATCAAGATGCTCTTTTACAAAGATATTTTAAAAGATTCTGTCACACCTGGTTTTCCTAAAACTGCAACATCATTACTTAAATCAGTGAGAATATGAAAAGTTTTGAGGAAAGGCTCTGTCATTAATAATACTAGTTTCTTGTGTGTATCTTTCATTTCACAGTCTGGAAACCCAGCCAGTAATCTATCACTATAAAGAGCTTGGGGTGGGGGAGTCCCAAAGAGACAGCAATCACCTAGAGTCTAGTATTAAATCAGAGCTTTGATGTGTGCAGTCAGAGCATCTTGACTTTTCAATACAACAAACAAACAAACAAAAAAAACCCCCGTAGAACTGTTTTGAGAACTATCTAACTTCCATGTCATGCTTTCAGGTGATGTTTCACGTTGACAATGGTGCAGGCCGATTCTCTGCTATCTATGAGCCTGATGCACCAGGCAGCTTATGTGACGGACAGTGGCACAAGGTTCTTGCAAACAAGATCAAACACCGTTTAGAGCTGACTGTGGATGACAAGCAAGTGGACAGTAACAGCCCAAACAGGGCTTCAACCTCAGCAGACACTAATGACCCTGTCTTTGTTGGAGGATATCCTGGTAAGTGTTTTAACACACAAATGATGCTTTACTTATGCTTTAGCAACACTGCCTTGGTAATGTCCTAAATGCAATTAGGACTAGTATGCTAAAGATGATGGGTGAAACTGCCCAAGTTTATACTGGTTGGCATGGATGCTCATTTCTGCATCCAGCTGCATCTTGGATCAAGAAATTCTGCAGCACCAAGAGACTCTCAGAGTTACCTCTGGCTGGTTTCAAATGCAGGCACTGTCACAGAGGAGCAGGCAGACTTTCTGGCCTCTGCTGCATGCATACACAGCCTTTCTCTTAAAATTTTCTGTTTAGTAACAGCATAATAGTTATATATCAATAGTAACAGCATTTGGCAAATATATATTCAACTTATGAATGGCAAATTTAAATTTAACTAAAGACTGCATATATGCCTTTGGGGGGGGGCAGATCACTGAGTGTGTAGAACAGGCTGTAAAACCTGAGGAACTGAGGAATGTGGACAAGAGCTTGCACAGAGAGGTGAGAGGACACCATCTCTTCCTGACTGATGTCTTTGCTTGTGGTCTGGTGATTTTTAAAGGGGGAAAAAAAAAATCCAAATTTGCGAGTTGGTATTTTGGAAGCCCTCAAGAGAACTTGCTTCATGCAGAGGTAATTGAACAGGATCCATCCAGAACTGGGCTGAGTTCTGTAACTAACTTCATCTACCACTAAGCTGATAATGGATGCTTGTATTTATCTGTTCATGGACAACCAATAAGCTTATCTAATAGCAGTTTACTTTCTGAAAACACAGTTAAGATATTTGCAAAGTGCCAATTTTGTTGCATTTAGAATGAAGTTTACTTCTTGTTTGCAAACAAAAAAGCTGAGTATGCTTGCAGTATGCGTCTGCTCTAGTGAATGCTCAGGTCGATGGCAAGAGGCCTCTTGGAGTTACTTCCTAAATGATTTTCTGGAAGTTGTTTTTACCCTCATTCTAATTTTTGATGCAGTTTATCCAGAAAGCCTTCTCTCAAGCTTCAGAACATTTTCAAAAATGTCCTTGATACTGAGATAATGAAAGTTTTATTTCAGTTACAGTGACTATTGATAAGTACTTACAATGTTGTGCCAGAAGGAAAACAGCTTTGTGGCAGCCTTTTCTTAAGAAAAAAGTATTCTAGCATTAAGAGTTAGCTCTAAGGAAACACTGGAGTTACTATCTTGTAGGTCAAGAGGAACATAGCAAGAGAAGCAAATGGAAGTAACACTGCAATCTGTATAAAACAAGCCTACAATTAGATCATGTTGAAGTGATATTCCTAACTTCAGCCACATGGAAAGTTATGAAATTATTTAATAAACCTACATGCACATTTAAACACCTCAGACTTCTCTTGCTGTCTAGTCTAGCTCATCCAAGGTTTAACATTCCCTAATACCCAGACAGCCTCATCACAAATTTAGAACACAGTATCATAGCATTTTGTTAAATTGGTAAGCATTTTTATTTGCCAGTCCTCTTGAGGCTTCTCCTGGCTGCACAGATAGTGCAAAACAGTTGTAAATCAGCTAGAATTAGCTGGTAGAGAATTTCCTGTGCAGGAAAACATTTTGCCACCAGAACATGGGAAAGGATATAAATTCCTGGCTACCCATAAAAGCCATTACTCATCTCCTACTATCACTCTTCCTTGTGCAAGGAGTGACAGATGGATTCAGTTATCTCACCCTCTGTAAAACAGCATAATGCTATGGCCAGTCAGTCTTCTATAGGTGTTAAGTTATTTCTGCAACCCTTACTTTATCAGTCACATAGACTTGTATCAGAGTGCATCCCCGTACCTCTTTTTCACTTGGAAAAACACTGAGAAACGAGTTGGCCCATAAATTTCAGTCAGTTGAGAGAATATTTCCAGCTTCCCAGTCAAACCAACCCACACTACTATCCCCTCCTTCTTCAGTGGAAAAGATGTACTCAAATTCCTGGCTTTACTGTGCATGAAAAAACAAAAGAATAAATATCACACTTGAAAACTCTCAAAACCATTCCTTAAACTACATCTGAATTCCATACTGAGGAACTGGCTTTATCATGGTGTTAGGGCTGAGAATTGCATCCCTTTTAGCCTTTTTTTTTCCCTCTTTTTTTTGTTTTGTTTTGTTTTGTTTTTCTGCTATTCTGTGGATAAGTAGCTTGAGAATTTGGAGATGGTCAGACTAACACGTATGCACCATTCTTAGGTAGCAAGCTGGCATTTGGTCATTTTCCTTAATTTCCTCTATGTGATGTAACCGAGTTACATGGTTTACAATGGCAGTTTAATGTGTTCAGATTCTGCCACTGTCACACTAGAATAGAAAAAGGAAAGAAGATTGGATTGTTATCACTAACATAAGCATTTACCACATTCACTCATAATATTTGTCATTTTTTAAATAAAGATATACAAGTAAAACATTAATACATTGCTGGGGATATCTATTCTCCTGCAGACCTCTCTAAGAATGAACTTAATTATCAACTTAATCTAATTTAATTCCTTTTGCCTTTTTTTTCTCTCCTTCAGATGGCATAACCCAGTTTGGGCTGACCACTAATATCCGTTTTAAAGGATGTATTCGATTTCTGAAGCTCACCAAGGGTACTGCTAAACCTCAAGAGATTAACTTCAGCAAAGCTTTGGAGCTGAAGGGTGTTCAACCGCTGTCATGCCCTGCAAACTAACTGTCATTCAGCTGATACAGACCTGTTTGTACAAGCACCTCAGATTAAAAAAAGAAAAAAAAAATCTCTATATACATTACGTTCATAATAAAATATCTTTATGCAAGTATTTGAGTAGTGTCTGTGGAATATTCAAATGGCAAAATTTACAAATCAGGTTTCTAAAGGGAGATGAAATCTGAGGAGATGAGGTAGGAGAATCCTGGAGATTATTAGCACAGCACATGTCACTAATCTCTAGTGTCATCTGTTTAATTAAGTCTTTAACGTAAAAGCAGCTTCCAAACTTAGACTCTACTGCCTCTGCTTGATGCTGTCAATTTGTGAGGAATTCTGAATTGAGAAGCCACCCCAGATCTGTAGAGTGTGTAGTACACTAGTACATAGATAGGGAGAAAAACATAGATGAGGAAAGTTGCTTCCTAGAGTCTCACTAAAATACCAAATCCTGTTGCTTTTCATCAGTGCTTTGTATCTTTTAGGGGACTATGAAATCATCACTGAAGTATGGATTATATTTCCTATGGATTATATTTCCTATGGGTTGTTTCAAATTTTTCAACTCTACTTTTGCAAAGGTTGTACTTGGACATGGAGAACATCCACTGTAAAAATGTAAAAACAACAACCTACGCAAAAGAGAAAAAAAACGGAAAAAAGATCTAGCAGTAAGGTGGAACAATCATGTAATTAAAAGAAAAGGGGGGGTTTTATCATAATTTTTTTCCCCACAGTGAGCCTTGAATACACTTTTTCAGAATTCTTGACATTACTAAAAAAGGCTAGCTGCAAAATTCATGCTGCCAGAAAGCACTCCTGCAGGAGTGCTTTGTAATTTACAAAAGGGCTCTTTGGCATATGTTTCTTTAAATTCCCATGGAAAAGAACACCTTTACAGTAGGAAAGTGCATTAAAGAGACAGTAATAAATATTATAAACTATTTGAGGAGTCTACCATTAACCAGATACACCTCAAGAAAAAACGTCTAACTCCCGTGAAGCCCTGCAGTAGTAACTGACTTCAGCAGGTATTCTAGTTTTCACTTGCAACCGGCCCTTTAATGTTAGCAGTAAATGGCTGTGCAATGTTATACACATTCGAAGTGTTAAGAATTAGTAAAGCACACATTTGTCTCTGAAAAAGTCTAATTATGAGACATCTACTGCCTTGCTATATTCTAGTGCTACTAACACACATACAGAAAATATTATTGTGTTTCTGTTTTATTCTTTTTATGTCCCTAGTATTTACCTACTCTAATTCTTATAATAATTCAGGATAGTTTGAACAGCTCAAGAAAAATAGGCCATTACACTTCAAATACAGTTGAGTATTTCCAAAATTCTTGAAAGCTATGAACAAATGAAGCCTCAAGACTTTTCTGCAGAGAGACAGACTTTACTGGCATGAATTTCTCACAACACACAGAACAGGCAAGCCACTTGGCCCATCAGACCCCTTGGGCATTACCTAGTTTAAAGACACGTTTCCTAGCCTCTACGTTCTATTCAGCACACTGGATTCTTTTTTAATCCCAACTTGCTTGCAAAATTGGGGTTTGTTGGGGTTTTTTGGACTTGAAGACACAAGGGAAATTGTCATGCTAATGACTGAAAGTAAAGCATCAGGAGTTAATACCACACTTTGCCTCAGAGGCAGGAAACTGCCACTGTTCTGCTCAGTGCTGCATCAGCAATGGTCGTTCACATAAAGATGTCTTTGCCTTCGGAAAAAATACTTGAATTTCTGCATAAAAGTAATGGAAAGTTAAAAAACAAAGACAAGCATTTATGTTCTTTGCTCTGTTGAATTATTTTTCCCTTGCATGGCCTTCCAGGAATGCGTGGGACAGTAAAAACAATTAACAATTCACATTATTACATTTCTTGAACTTTCGGGTGGAATCAACTAGCTGCTGTCCTCTACTAGAGGAAATAAATTCAGTAGGCTGAAAAACAGCAAACAGGCATGCTAAAGGGAAACAGAAAAACCTGCTTAATGTGTTTTCGTGCATAGGCGAGTGGATACACCAAGTACTGTTACTAAAGATTTCTGCCTTTGAAGATTCAATAGACCATCTGGGAATGATCCCAGCTCCCTGTTACTACCTTTGCCATACAACAAATTCATTGATTGGTGGAATCCAGATAAAGATTCAAATTTCCTGGAACTAGTGGTTTGTGAACCTCAGAGCCATCTAACCATTAGCTCACTGCTGACCATGCCAGCAGCAATGTAGTATCTTCCAAATTCAAGACTGCAAACTAATGAACAGGACACAGTAATTAAACCTTTATTTTGGTGGATTTTTCACATACAGAAGTTTTTGTCTTTTTTCTTTTCTTTTTTGTTTGCACACATATTAAATACTCTTTGCTGCTAAACTCCAAAACTACACATCCAGGTATTTTTTTAAATTCTATTTAAGATAGACCCTGTTGACTGAGGTGACTTTTAGGCACTCAACATGAACAATTGCTCTGAATGGAATAAATCCTTCCTCATGTAGTAAATAACTGAATGGGAAATCTTTGCTTCAGCTAACACAATTATTTGTTTAACGTTCATAAGTTTGGCAATATTAATGTGTGTTAGGTTACAGTCTTTTATGTGGATATGTAAGCAAACCAGCAGCCTAGGGAGGGGAGTAGTTTCTGGTAATCTAGTCTAGCTTATCCTGAGTGTAAGATAAGCATAAAACTTGCTGAAGCAACAGAAGGAAGCCATTGATAAGGGTCAGTTTCAGCTGGTCTTGCAGTTACAGAAGCAACTAATTGGGCCAAAGGTGACAAGAGCATCATGAGGAAGACTTCTTACTTCATCCCAGAGACCCCAGCCCAGGACCACCAGAGAGCAATGCGCAAGCGCCGAAGGGAGGAGACTTAGGATAATAAGTTCCTGGAACTAATTGTAATACAGGCTGCCTATCCTTGGAAAAACTATGAATATGTAACAATATGGGAGATAAAAACGAGCCTTTGGAGAGCCAGAGTTGAGCCACAGAGGAGGAATCCCCTGTGAAGCTCCCAGCACTGTAAATAAAATATTCTTTGCTCCACAGACTTTGTCCCTGGCTAAAATTGAAGAAGTGAGCTTGTTTCTCACACTCATCTCTAGCTTTAGGCAAACTGCTATGTATGAAAAAAGTGGTGGTTTTGATTTTAAATACAACTAGGTTTCTAGTTTATTTGTAAAAAGTAGTTTTACTTGTTCTTTCTATCAAATCATACTTTCAGCTCTTTATAGGAGCTTATAAAGGGAAAAACATTTTGCTGGTGTAGTATTTTTCTTTAGAATGCACAAGAAAAAGTTTGAATTCTTAAAAACCCAACCCATTTTTCCTACCTCTCTTTTAACATAGAAATCACCAGGAATG